AAAAAAATAAAAAAAAATCCAATTTTGATTGGTTAATCTAATGTGACACACGCGATCTCCTAAATTCTGCGAAGATCTGCGATATATTTTATAATTTCAGCATTTAATACAACATTCTGCCAAACCTGCGGCTTCCGGCTTAAAGCTGGAGATCATCGTCCCTGCTTCGAACTTCCGGCCTCTGATCATACAGCCTGGCCTCGAAAATATTCGGAGACGATAAAAAATAGTTCCAGTTAGAAGAATATTCGGTATTATTTTTTTTCCACGAATTCCAAATTTTTTTCCCAATGATCCATATAACTGCAAGAAAAAATAAGGTAAGTATGACATATGTCATTAAGGAACTTTCAACGGCAGGGATAGCCAGTGCGATTCTAGAGGAACCCGCTAGAGGCATTACTTGAAGTGATGGCATCACTTTTGCGTCACCCAATTGCTTCGCAACCCCTTCTCTTGAAATAAAGTTTTCGGAATTTGCTGGTCGACTATGAATGGATTGATTGGGTAGGATATCTGTCTGGCTTCTCGAAACCATCTCATCCCGGGGTAATAGCTCTTGCAAAATCTCTAATATATGTTCTCTGGCAAAACTTTATCGAATTCCATAACTTTATCTTTGAGACCAAGCTCGTGGATGAGGGGTCTTAGATTATCACTAACCCAACCTGAAATCTTTTACGATGAATCGTTCATAGGCGGAGGTGGGGTGCTACCGTTAAGGCACTTCATAGAGAGATCTGCTATTTCATTATCTTTTTTGAGATTATCTCTTGGAGACGAGAATTTTCCTCCATTGAATTTAATCACGCTTTTCTCAAAGCATCTATTTCCTGACTGGTTATCTCATGTGACGCTTCTATCCCTTTTTCTATACATTCTATTATATATTCTTTCAAATTACGATCCTCATTCGCTCGCTTCAGTTCGAGCCTAAGAGATTCTATTTCAGATGAGCTTATTTGGGCCGGCTCCTCTATCACCCCTCCCATTACATCCAAATCACGATATGTACGTTCTAGATCTTTGTCCTCTAACTTACCTTTCAATTCACGTATTTTAGTTTCAAGAGAAAGAATCTGGACCTTATCAACGGACGAGGCTTTTTGAGCCAAAGTTAGCTCTCTCTTTAGTGTTTTAATATTTGATTTGAGCGATTTGACTTCGGCTTCAAGCTCAATACAGGACCTCTATTCAGAAATAAATTTGGATCTAAGTTCAGTACTGGACGCATTTAACTGACTAGCTTTATTTCCCATATCAGCATAAATTCACTGGAACTCCTCCTCTCACTCTGAATATTCTGAATTTTTAGCCAACAACTTTTCACAAAGATTATTAATTTCGGCTTTAGAACTAAGAGTGGTATACAATTTTTTTTCAAGCTTTTGCTCATACACACTACCAAGCCGATGACCTTTATTATTAATATCTTTCAAGGTATACACATTGGTCATAGCCTTTTTTTCGGCTTAGTTGCTAGTACAATAAAAATTAAAATAATTAAATATAGCCAATACTGATAAAAAGAACTATGCGTAGATATCTAAGATCTGATGCAACTTCTCTTTCACTTGAAGCATACTGTGATATTATAGATGCTAAAGGTAAAAGAATATATTATCAGTTTTAGCTAAAAAATACAAAATATCATCACGGAGGGTATATCAAATCTGGCGAGAACAGGAGTATCCTCCTGGTGTTAGCTTGGCTAACCAAAATAATGGTTAGGATAAAGAAATTGAAAGCATATATAATTTATATGCCGAACTTCCTAGCGAATAAATGGATGAATTTTCAGTTAAGTCATTGTAACAATTTTCCAAGTGAAATTTATTTTTTGGAGGATAGATAGTCCCAGTATTGTGCATAGCACTGATGCTCCTGATGCTCCTGATACTTTACATATTACTGATACTTCGCATAGATTTAATAATTTACACACATTTTTTTACTAATATCACGGATAGAGCCCATAGTGAGCATAGCACTAATGCTTCTGATACTCTGCATACTACGCATAGTATTAATATTTTTGCGTACACATTTTTTATTAATAGTATGAAAATCTGATCGACTGCTAATATGATCAACCTCCCACCTAGAAGATATATGCGCTCCGATACTACAAAATTATCTTCTACAGATTATGAAGATATCATGCAATACCGAGATATGAAATCCAAGCCTCTGGATCAATTAAGAAAGAAATTCCATGTATCAACTTCTTGTTTATATCAGATTTGGAGAGGACAGGAGGTAGGAAGGCTCGAATGGAACTATTCAGCAGTCCCGCTTTCTTATCCAAGTACAAATGTTATAGATAAATAGGATGTACCAGAGGTTTCAGTAGAATGCAATATTATTTCTGGGAGTAAGATAAAAAAGACCGGAGGAAAGAAACCCAAGTCTAAATCCGTTAGAATCTCTGAACCATCTATTACCCAGAATCAGCCAACGTCTACAAGCCCAGAGGGTTTTGAGGTTTAAATATTAGCAGAGATGGTCTGAATGCATTTTATAAAAAAGAAGCTAAGAGAGACGAAAAAAATAAAGCAAAGGTGAATAGACGTCTAGCCGTGTAGAAGATATTCCCCATTTAGTTTATCATAGCATACTAATAATTTCTCACACAATTCGTTAAGATCTTCTTTAGACTTAAGAGCGCTAAATAACATTTTTTCAAGCTCCTCATAACTCACTTTTTTTTTAATGTGCCATCCTCACTTAAGTCCTGCGAAATGCAGTTCAGAATTATGGAATCGTCACATTCAGGAGTAATGTTCGCGCAATTCACCTCGAGCTTGTTCTTGACCTTATGCATATTAATTGGAATAAAAAATTCCTTACCATTACACTCTAGTTTCAATTCCCGTTTTGAAGCAAGTAAATCATAGTTATATTTATCAAGCAATGTGTTAGGTAAAATGAGCATCGGCTTAGGGAACTTAACTACTGCAAAATCAGCGTATATAGTACATCCAGGAGCAAAATTTACTGGGACATTTCTAACAATTTCAAGCGACTCTGTGAGAGTAGTTGCAATACCTCTAAGATCATGTTTTTCTTTTGTATCAATTTCTAGCTTTGATCGTTTAGATATATCATCGGTCATAATTGCAAAATTAGCACCAGGATCAACCACAGCACCCGGAATGATCAGACGCTTGATTTTACACTTAGTAGTAACAACATCAGTAGCGGGATCCTTTTTCTGAACGAAATCGATTTCCATAGGCTCATTTAGAATTTCGTCCTCCCCATCTGAGTCTGGAGTTTCAGGAGTATTCGAAGTGGAGTCATCTCTACCATCAACTAGTATTCTGGAAGCAGAATTCTGCGATTGAAAAAAGGCTATAATGGCGCCAAACTTTTCATTAAGCACCTTTTCAATAATTTTCTCAATAATATTTTCCAAGCGGGATTGGTCATCCTGTGACGGCGACTTTGAACTTTACTTTTTCTTTTTAGAAATAGGAGCCAAGATCAAAGGAGCTGTTTCTATATCTTTTACCTCTTGAGATTTGGCCGTAATGCGACCCTTTGATTTCTTCTTTTGTGGTAAAGGGGAAGGATTAATCGATTCTTTCTTCACTTTTTTTTTGTCTTAGTAATATTAACATTAATATCACCTTCGGATTCGAATTCAGATGAAGAACTTGAACCAGAATCAGAAGAGTCATCAGACGACATATCAGAATTAGTATCTGAACTCAAACCTGAATCTAAAGTGACAAGATTTACTTTACCCTTTTTGGACTTACTCTTCTTTTTTCTGGGACACTTACGAGAATTGTGACTAGCTTTACCACATTTAGAGCATTTATGTTGGGCTAAGTTTTTGATCACATTAACAATTTGAGAGTATTTTTTGGAAAGCTTAGTATAATTGGTATTAGCAACGTCCAATCTCTTTATTAATTCGTCATTAATATAATTATCTAAAGACATAAGATCTTTTGGTGCATCAGGTGGCATCCCTAAACGCACTGCACGAATATACATCTTTTCTAGGGCATCATTATTTTGGGAATGCATCTGGATTGGTTAAGCTGGCTGGGTTCATAGGAATGCTATTTCAGATTTTAACTTTTCAATCTCAGCTGAAGAATTACTCCGATAATTTTGACCACCATTTAAATTTGGAGCGCGCTCTAACCACATATCTTTAAGTTGTGTAAAGAATGCATCAATACCAGCAGGAGCAACAGCTCGCATCCATGTATAAAGATCACCCGACAAGTGATTCTTAAGAAATCCTACAGTTTGTGCATCACCATCCGCTACACCTAATAATAAAGGTCAGATTCTTTTTTCATAAGTATCTGGTGAATCTGTGGGTAGAAATCTTTCTTGAGTT